ACCAACACAGAACCGTGAGCCAAGCTGTGGCCTGAGCTCAAGCCTGGTTCATGGGCCAAGAAAGTGCCACTGAGAGTTAGAGATGTCCGGGTAGGCGACGGAACTGAGGGCACCTCAGGAGCAGGACGGCCAAAGTGACACGGGCCAGTGTGCCGAGCTGGCTAGGGTCGGGGTGTGGTCTACCCCTGCCGACAGGGCCTCCCCAGCTGGACCCTCTCCCTGTCCAGCCCCATCCCAGCTGCCAGGAGGCAGTGACCGTGAGGCCCTCAAGTGGGGCAACTGCTTTACAGCTGGACACACAGAGAAGGGCGTTTTTTTTTTCAAGGATTTTGCTGGCCCTTTTTTTTTTCCTCTGAAATATAAGGATGTGCAATTTTTTTGGTTTCAATTTAGCATTGGAGAATTTTATAATTTAGTAATTAAAATCTCTGATAGGCTTTAGAAATTGCGGCTAATTGAATTTAATGGGAAGATGATTTTCAATTTTATTTGATTACCGGGACCCCTGGCATCGGTATTTATGGGAAAAAAATGGGAAATGTGCTGTGTGGGCTAAGATGGCATAATTGAATTAGGGATAATCGGATTTCTCCGTCATGAATTTCACTATAATTTTCCTATAATTTTCCATTAGATATCTAGTTTACAAATATTCACAAAGAAATGAAGCTCTTTCGGAATGGAGATTGCTGGCTAACAGGATTACGGGGCCGGGCGCGCGGCTGTACCAGCCCCTTGACTGCCATAATGTGATCCCTGTGTCTGCCTTACACTTAGCGTGGCCTCGGCCCCGCGCTCTGCCACCCACTGCGGCTCCATCCTCCCGTGTTTGCTCTTCGTCCCTGTTTGCCTCCCCGCCTGACACCAAGCTGCCCGAGCCCGCGACCTCGGCCCCCCACCCCGCTCCCCGTGCACGCTTTGCCCCCCACTCTTCCTGACGTTCCCACCCTCCATCAGCCCAGGGAGTGTGCTCGTGCGCACGCGCACACACACACACACACACACACCGACGCCTCACAGGTGCAAACATGCTTGTTCACATGCACACGCGGTCCTTTGGCCAAGGTATCTGTGCCCTGGCCCAGTCGCCTGAGAGGGAACCAGTTTATTGGGATCCTGGGGTGGGGTGCAGGAACAAAAGAAGCCTTGTTCCAGTTTATGTGAAAGTTACAAATTCAAAATGAGAGCAGATAAAGCATGAGATAGATACCTGGTGTGTAAACAGGCCGGTGAGTGAGAAGGCCCCAGGCTCGGGAGGGAGAAGGGATGAGTGGGCACACGCTGAGGGTGCGAGGGGACCGCAGCCAGCCTCGGCAGGTCACTCCCGAGCAGAGGTGGCTCTCCCCGGGCTGGCCAAGGCTGCTGGGGGGCGGGGATCACCGCTGCAGAGCTTCTGTCTGGCTTTTCTCTTGGGGTGCAGCTGGAGGCTCCAGGCCCGGGCCCTGGAATCAGGAGGAACCGTGGCACTGGGCATTGTACCCCGAGTCCGGGCATGGATTTGCTCACTGTGGCCTCCAGGCCACAGAGGTGTCACTGCATCCGGGGCATCAAGGCAAAAGGGAGCCATAGCCTCAAGAGTCACCTGAGTTTGTTCTGGGCTTTTCTCCTTGATGTAAATACACCCCAGAGATGGGTGAGGAGGAACCTGGGGACCCCTCCTTTACACCTGCTTCACACCCACAACCTCACCACTCAGCCTTGTTCTTGGACTTTTTCAAACCCTAACATAGTAGGTTGGCCTCAGCTTGTGGCTTCTCGGACCTGTTCCCCAGGGAAGGTCCTCGTTCTTGGGCAGGGCCCGCTCTGCCTGCAGCAGCTAGCTGACTGTGGTCGCTGTCTCAGCCGGTCACCTCCCTCTGCCACGGGAGCCCCTCTGGCCGCCCCGATATGTGCTGCCTCCTTCCAGCTTTCTCAGGCCAGCCCCATCAGCCGGTCCTCCCCCACCTTTGCACACCAGGACTGCTGAGTTACCAGGAAGCTGACCCATTTGGCCCTGCCAGGTAACTTGAAAGAGAGATGCTTTCCTGTTCACCCAGACCCTCTTCATCTCAGTCCTGGCCCCATCGGCAGGAGCCCAGCAGAATATTCAGGCCAGCCAGAGGCTAGGAGGTCCCCTCTGCATGGAGCTCCTCATCCATGGGGATGTTTTCTTTTCTTTCTTTTTTTTTTTTTTTTGTACCAGGGATTGAACTCACAACCTTGCGCTTGCCAGGCAGGCGCTTATGCCATTGAGCTAAATCCCCAGCCCTATTTGTCTTTTTGAGACAAGGTCTCCCTATGCAATTCTGGCCTTGAGCTCACTTTGTAACCCAGGCTGGTTTCAAACTCATAAGGATCCTCCTGCCTCAGCCTCCGGAGTGCTGGGATTATAGGCGTGTGCTGCCACAGATCATGGAGACATTTTCAAGCACACTTGGAAATCGCCCCCCAAACCTCCAACATCAGACTTCCCTCTACCCTCTGTTGCCCAGCCCAGAAAGCAGAAGCTCAGGACTGGGGTGTGGGATCAATCATCTGGTTTTTTGTAATCCAAAGCTCCAAGGGACGAATCCTTGCTTTGGGGAGTCCTAGGGGCAGGAGTGTACCTCACAAGAGTCTTGGACAGAGATGCCCTCTCTGCAACACCCATGGAGCAGAGCGAGCCCTCCTCCCTGACCACCCCCACCCCCATTCCCAGGAGCAGCCTCTGGGAAGAGTGTGGCTTGGCTGGTTTAAGATTTGTTCCCCTATTTGGGGCTTTAGGGCCAAGGGACATCACTAAAACCCCTGGGTCTCTCCAGCAGTTGTTTGCTCACAGGGATGTGGACAGGCAGGCAGGAATGGAGGTTGGCAGGAAGTCATGAGGAGAGCCGTGGGATAAGGGGGATGGCACACTCTTACTGAAGCCATTTAGAACCAAGGAACAATCTGAAAAAAGAGGGAGGCAAGAAGGGGAAAGTAGGAGAAAGAGTGGATTGTTAACTCCCTTGAGGTCTTTGCCCCAAGGCCTCCCTGGGGCCCCTCCCTTTGCAAAATAGAAATATTGCAAAAATAGGCCAGCGCCATTTTGCTGCATGCTGCCCGGAAGGTGGAGAGGGCTGGGCCTGTCACCTTTCCCTCTTTGGAAGGCAGTGCGGGCCCTCCTGAAACAGGAAAGGAGAAGGGAGCAGGGGGCACTGGGCGCAGTCCTGTCCCGACCCCGGCCTGGCTCTCCCCGAGCCCCTCCAAGCCGAGTGGGAAACCTGGCTCATGAACATCCATGGTGGTTGCGGGGAGCGTGGGGTGTGGGGGGCCCTGGCAGAGACAGGCCCTAGGAGAGCCAAGGAGAGGACAGAGTACTTGGCCCTTCGGCGATCTGACACAGACAGAAAGTGAGGTCGGATACCAGGGGAGCAAGCACTGAGCCGGGGTCACCGCTGTAGGAGCAGGTGGCGCCCTGGCGGGGGCTGGGGTCTGCGCTCCAGGCGGTGGCACGGACCCAAGGGGGCGCCGGATCCCACTTGCACCGAAGTTTGGGGTCAGGCGACCAAGGCGCGTGCGTTGGCTGGAAAAGCGCGACTGGCAGGGAGGGGGCCCAAGTTCTGGGGTAACCCCAAGAGAAGCGGCAGAAACCCCGGCGCACGTGCCGGGAGCGCGTGTCTGGCGCGCGCGGGTGCAGGCGGGCGCGAGGCTGACGTGCGAGTGTCCCCGACACACCCAGAGCCGCGCTCCGACTGCTTTCTGCTTCAAACTCAAAGGGCCACACGGACAAAAAGAGGGAACCCGGCCGGGTTGTTGGGGAACCCCGATCAGCCCCCCTAAAGCCCAACGGAAGCATCTCCTAGCTCGCGCGTCCTGGCGGGCGCGCCCCCCTTAGCCGCCTCGCACCTGCGTGCCCGCGCGAAAAGTTTGCGGGGCCGCGCGGGAGCTGGCGGGAGCGCGCAGCGGCCGGCGGCTCTCCTCCTGAGGCGCGCGAGGCGAGGGCGTGTGTGAACGCTCGCGCCGGCGACCGGCGAGAGTTGGCGCGTGTGCGCGAGCGCCGTCCCCGCGCCTCACTTCCCCCTCACTCGCCACCCCGGTGCGTGGCCCGGTGCGCGTAGTCCCCGCCTTCCTCCCCCTCGCCCGCCAAGTCAAAGGCTGAGGGAACCTTTCAGTTCACGAGCGCGGGGGCGCGCGCCTGAGGAGCGAGGCGCGCGCGTGTGAGGAAAGGGAGCGGGCGCGCGCCCGAGGAAAGCGCGCTGAGCGGGCGAGCGCTCGCCCATTCACTTCAGCACGAGGCGAGGCGAGGCGAGGCGCGCGGCGGCGGGCGCGCGGGCGGGCGGGCGGGCGCGCGGACGGCGGGCGGGCCGAGCTCTGCTCTTTCACCTGCCGGAGCCGCGCGGCCCGGCCAGGAGGAGGCGGCGCCGCGAGCGGCCTGCCAATCACCTCGGCGCCTGGCAGCGCCCGGCCGCTCCCGCCCGCCCCACTCCCTCCTGCCAAACTGTTACCCTGAGTGTTACCGTCAGGAGCAATGACATCAGGGTTTTAAAACAACTTGTTATTCGGGGAGTAATCAGTTGCAATTAGGCATTAATTAAGTATTATGAAAGTTGATTATTTAAGTGAATTCGGCTTTCGACTCTCCGACTATGGTGAGGACCGGGAGCGGGCCGGGGGAGGGCGCGGGGGCCGGGGCGCGAGGCGGCGACCCCCGCGCGGAGGCCGGGCCGGGGCTGGACGGGCCGGGCCGGGCCGGGACAAGCTGGATCGGGACGGGCGCGCCCCCGGCCCCGCGCCCTCCTCCGGCCCAGGACGAGTTTCGGAAACTCGGAGAGGCCGGGCGCGCGGGCCGGAGCGTGGGAGCGGGCGGCGGCGCGGGGCGGACTCCGGGTGCCGGGCCCGGCAGCGATGCGCGGGGCCCGGTTGCTGGGGAGGGGGCGCGGCGGCGGCGGCGGCGGCGGCAGGCGGGTCGGGGCCGGGTCGGGGCCGGGATCGGGGCCCGGAGAGACACTAACAGAGTCTCCTCTTCTCTCCCGTGCCTCCCTGCCTGGCGTGCCTCGAAGAGTTTGGGACCAAGGAGCGCAGAATGGATCTCGGAACAGGTACTGGCTGGTGGGAACCCGCGGGAGGCTCTTTCACTTTTCTTTCGGTTCTTTTACGGAAGTTATTATTTTTAGTCCAATGAGCTCGCGGTGGAGCAGGGTGCCGGGCCGGGCCGAGGGGTCGGTGTCGCCGCCCCTGCGCTCCCGACTCCCTGGATGGCGAGCTGGTTGTTATTATTTGTTACTTGCTTAGTGACTGTGACTAATTTAATACTTGTCATTGTGAAAGAACCGAGAGGACAGGGAGCTGGGGGGCACCCAGAGAAATGATTTTAGGGGGTTTTTGTGGGGGTTTTTTGTGCTCCATGTTTTTGTGTGGCTCCGTGTTTTTTCTGTGTTTTTAAAAAATACGCATATACATTTTTTTCCCCTCTCCTCCTTAAAGATCTCTGCGTCTGGCTATGGGGTGTGTGTTTTTATTTTTTTAGTGGGGGGTGGTTTAGTTTTTGAAAGCAGCGTCCTGTTGGGAAAGGTGGTTAGTCTGGTTTCGGGGCGACTGTCTCAAGGCAAAGGAATTTAATTTATTTGGGACAAGGCTGTGTCGGATGATCAAGCTGCTTATTATGGCTAATGAGTGTTTTTCACCTGAGAATCTGTGGGCTGAGGCTGCTGTTATCAGTTCAAAGTGAGGGGCCCAGGACTCTCCCGGTCCCCCTTTGAGCCCCCGCCCTGGAGGTGTTGATGGACCAGACTAACTTTAGGCATCTGGGTCTGGGGGCCCTGGTCCGGGACCCAGAGGTCAGGTTCCACATAGCTGCTGGTCCCTGGGCAGAGTCGATCCTGAGAACCGGGTGTCTTGCTGGTTTTGATCTAGTTTGTTCAGTGGTTCTCTTTACATCCTGGCTCCCAACCTGTGCCTGAGCTGAGGGAGACTTGCCCCAGCTCTTCTGGCTCCTTCCAGCCCTCTCCTACCCAAACCAAGTTTTACTCAGGACCTTGACGTCCTAGGTCTTCTGAAGCAGCTCGCTTCCTCCTAAAAGTCTTACAAGAAACAAACATGTTGATAAATCACTCATTGGGACTGATCTCTGAACCTTTCTGTTCCATTTATGGAAGGGAAGATGGCATTGGTGGCTGTTAAGGGTTGTTAAGCCTGTAGTTCATGGCAGGCTCAAGTTCATGGATCCCTTGGGACCCAAGGGTTGACCCCTGACCTTCTGAGGTCAAAGGGGAGTAGGCTGAGAGGGCAGGAGGTGGCCCTTTGAGTGGCATGGTGGCTGGCTTTGGCAAAGGGGCGTGTGTGGTAGGAGAGGGAGACTTTCACAGAGCTTTTAGACTGTGGCCCCCACAGGTGTGATCTTGGTTCATGGGAGGTAGAGGTCCCCAGGACCTCTTTGCCCAGGAAGGGTGGGACGCCCCCTGCTGGGCAAAATGGTGAAGGTGTCCAGAGGCCCCCTGTCCCTCCCCACCCTCCAGGCCTGCAGGGAACCAGCCCGCCCCCACCTCTAATCAGGTGTCTCATCGCTGAGCTCTCAGGCCTCACCCCCTTTCTTCGGAAATGGGGCCCCCACCCAGCCCAGCTAAGGAGCAGCCCTCAGAGATGGGCCAGCCATTGTGCACCACCCCCTACCAGGTGGAGGCCAGCCTGGGCTCGTGGGCGGGCATATAGGACCCAGGCATTACTCAGCTGGAAGGCAGGCCCTCCTGGCTTCCTCCTTCCATCCTGGGTGCCAACTGGAGCTGGCACCCATCCTCCTGCCCTGTCAGTCCCTCCTGGGCTGCTGTGGGGCCACTACTGCACGGGCCTTCTGTGGGGCGTCCCGATGGCCTGGCGGGAAGCAAATGGCAGAACCTCCCGTGGCACTTCCTGGAGCCTTAGAGACTTCTCCCAGCACCCTAGGGACAAGCTCTGGAAACTTTTCCTAGAAGCCACAATGGCCCCCAGAGGTCAGCTGGAGCAAGACACTCCCAGTGGGATCCAGGCCGGGACTCTGGCCACTCAGAGAGGGGAGGTCCGGAATGTCAAAGTTCTGTTTCCTGGAGGAGGCATCTGATGATACCATCTCAGTCTTTTCTCTGAACTTGGAAGTTTCACTTAATCTCAGGACTTAAGAAGAAAAGGACTTTTTCTTCACTTCACAAAAAGAAACAAAACAAAAACATGGGAAGGAAGGACCTATCACTTCCAAGCCTGTCTCTCAGCTCTGGAAGGTGCAAGGGACACAGGGCTCCACTCTGGCCAGGGTTGGTTGCTGGCAGGATGCAGGGTTCTCTTCCTTTGGGGATAACGAGGGAGCTTCAGCTGATTGCCTCTTAGCAGAGTATGAGGGTAAAGATGCCCCCTTTGGGCCCCACAGAGTTGCCAGCAGACTGTTGAATCAGGGGTTACCGCCTCCTCCAGCCTGGACACATCTAGTACTGAAGCATTCAGACCAAAAGTAATTCAGTGCCAAGAGAGTTGAGTCTTCTCAGGAGGGGACAGCAGGACCTCAAGACCTTTGGCGGCCATGTGGACCCCTTCTTCCCTCCATAGTTCAGCCAAGGGCTGGATCAATCTGGACGTCTTTAGCAATAAAAAATGCCGATGTCGTCCTAATTCACCAGGCCCCGAGATGACAGCAAATTTACATTTTTTAATTAAACTAGCAGCCAGTTTTTATGAGAGGGGGTTGGGTTATGCAAATCAAATGGTTGTGTACGGAAGATTAGGAGAGTTTGGGAATAAATTCCACAAATGCTAATAAAAAAAAAAAAGAGGAAAGAGAGAGAGGGAGGGAGAGAGGGAGGGAGGAGAGAGAGGAAGAGAGGAGGACACAGTTCCATTAGGCCCTTTTAGAGTGATTTCCCGGGGGAGGGAGCGGGAGGGGGTGGGAGCAGGGGAGGCCGCTCTCAGACACAGGTAAATCCATCCCGCAGTTGGGAAGCTCCCCAGGATTAGGGCCCTGTCAGGCTGATTCCTGGGCCTGAACAAAAATGGAAGCCAGAGTGCAAATGGCTGTGAAACTGCAGGAGTCTCCCTGCAGTGCTCCTCCTCTGGCCTTGGTGGTGGGAGCTGGACAAGTGGAGGGACTGTCCAGTAGAGGATCCAAGGTAGGATCCACTGAGTAGAGGGCCAGAGAGGAAGCAGAGCGAGTTTAGAGGGGTGACCGTGGAGCCCGGGTCAGCTGACGACGGGCAGCGCTGCCCACACGGTACCGTGGCTGAAGCCTTTGTCATCCGGATGCGTCATAAGGTGGACTCAGTGTTCCTCTCTGGCAAAGCCTGTTTCTTCTTCCTGCTGGGGTACCAGACTGGGACCCTCTCGCATGTAGATAGATCCCCCCCCCCAGTCCCCATCACTGGATCGTGGGCCAGAGAGTGCAGAACCCAGTGGGCTCAATCAGCCTGGGTCCTAGCGTGGAATTTCCTAGTGCTCCAGGCTTTAAGGGGACCTGGTTCGCAGGGAGTGGGAGAAGCAAGCCTGCAAACTTCTCTCAGGTGGAGTCAGGCGCCAGAGAGCAAAGGCCTCCAGGTTCACAGAACTTCTGTGAGCCACCGGTTCATGGCCCGGCCTGACGGAGAGTAGAGACCTTGCTCTCACAACCTTGCCAGCTCCCAACCCAGCACAAAGCCGTGACTGGGACGGTCTTGCGGTGTTTGTGTGCTGGGTTCGGGGCAGAGCAGATTACCCTCGATCTTCCTTCCTCCAGCCTGTACTTGGCCAGATACACCCACTTAACCAGTCTGAGCCGGGCCAGCCCCTGCAGCCAGGTTGGGCACCGGTTTTGCCAGTCTGCTACAGGGGTAGGTGCTGTGGTGCCATATTGGCAGGAAGGAGCCTCTAGCGCCAAGCGCTGCATGGGCTGTCTCAGGGGTAGCACGTTTCCTGGTACCTGTCCGACAGCCTGGCTCTCACTGGCCAGTGATGACGGGAAGGACCAGAAATCAGATGACCTTTCAGCTCTCTGGCTCTCCAGCACCCGGCTTGGTGTTGTTCCGTGAGACCAACTTGGGGGAAGCGGTTAAGTGTACAGGGCGAGAAGCATGTCATTTGGACCTTCTTGATGAAAGTGTTTGAAACAGGCAGCTCTGGGTTGTAGGGTGGTCCAGGCCCTGACCAGCTTGGAGACTTGTTATAAGATAGACAAAATGCAAGACAGCAGGCCCAGAAGAGCCTTCTCCGCAAGAGGCAGGACAGAAGGCAGGCTGCAAGAGTCCCTAGGCAGACCCGGCCCCGGTCCCGGCCCAGCCAGGAGAACCCTGCTTCCCAAGAGAGGCCCGGGGTTGGAAGCCAGACCAGCCAGTCCTCTCCCAGCGCTGCTCCTCGGCACTGCCGGTCCTCCCTGCCCCCACAGCCAGGGAATCTGGCTGAGTTGCAGCTTGGGTTTTTATGATGGAAAAATAAAATAAATGGAGGCACCTTTGGAGGGCTGAGTCACGGCAGCATCTCCTCATTAAAGCTGTTGCCCCTGGCTCAAGCCCTGCCCACTGCCCAGGCAGGGGACTGGGTGGGGCTCGGGAAGGCTCTTGGCCCTGAGTGCTGCTCTCCTTGGACCCTGCCAGGGCATCCCCACCCTCCCCAGCAGCCTGGGGCTGGCCTGGGGCTGGCCTGGGGCTTGGAGGCGGGTCATTGCCAGCCCCAAGCCCCAAGGATCGTCGTCTGACTGCCCTCCCAGGGCTGGCTTTCAAGCCTTGACCACTCTGGCTGCCGCCGCCACTGCCACCATAGTGCTGCCTCTCCTTCCTCCCGTCCTCTCCTCTTCCTCCTCCTTTTGCTTCTCCTGGTCCTCATCTTCAGAGAGCAAAGGAAGTTGCTCTGTAATGATGTGGGCTCTGCGGAGGCAAGCAGCAGCTACTGGGGGTCCAGCAAGAACGGGAAGGGGTGAAGGGGGAGGAAGGCCGTTGGCCTGTGTGTCTTTTGGTTTTTTGGTTTCTGTGCTGGGAATAGAACTCAGGACCTCAGGCTGGGCCTCAGCCTGTGGGGGAGGGGCACTGCCTCACTGCCAGGCTTTGGAAGGTGGAGGCCTGGTGACCAGCACCTCACACCTCAGCCTCTCGGGACCTGAGAGCCTGTAGGGCAG